GAATTTTCAGTTTTTAAAATTAAATTGTATTTTATTCTTACTATATATGAAACTATAGAACTAATCTCTTATTTATTTGCACAAATATTATTTAGTGGGAAAAACCCTGGTGCATATATGAATGACTTCATGCTTTAATGTTTATACCTCTGTGTGTATGTATGTGTGTCTATACATGCCAAATATTAGATTGATTAACCTAAGAATCTTTTGATACATATTATCTTTTGCACATCTACATAGCAGACTCTCAGGTATAATCTTTTAACCTTATCATAATATAGCTGGAGATTGTTTTCTATCTTTTCTATCAGTCTATGCTCAAATCTAAGCAAACAAATTGATTTTGCCATGTTTCCCATTTCTTCAAGATTGAAATAATGTGCTTCCAGGCATGTCCCATCTGGACGTCCCATGACTCATAACTTAAATATTTAGAAATTCTATCCCTTGACTTTTTCCCTCTTTTAAAGTATTTTTCAAAAATACTTCTAGTGTTTATTCATGAATACTAGATAAATTACAGAGCTGCAAATATATTTTTGGAATAAAATGATTAAAGTCCATTTCAAATTTTGTTTCCAAGTTTGTATAAGAGAACAAAAATGGGATATAGGTTCAGCTCAGAAATTTAGCCAAAATGTGGTTTTCATATAAAGATAAATTTCTTTACTCATATAAAGAATTATATAAACAAATAATATAATTTGTTAATAATTATTCATCAATTATTTTAAAAAAAGTTTTATTGAAGGTTTCATTTGAAACAATTTATAAGCAATCTGTTTAATTTTATTAAATTTTTTTCTGGATATGTAAGGGAAATATTCTCGTAGTAGGAAACATGGAATATAGAAAAATTATAGAGAAGAAAGTAAATCTCACCCATTATTTTATCACCTAGGAAAAATTATTGCTAAAATTTGGTATTATTTCCCCTTTGTTTGTTTATCTGTGTATCTATCTATCTATCTATCTACCTATTTATTGAGTTTAGATCTTATAATCTTTGATTGGAAGGTATTATTCCATACCCATTTTTAATGCTTATGCAAACATGTCCTTGTGTGGGTCTGTGTGTCTCTGTACATGGTATTTTAAAACACTCTGCAAAAGTTTTTTCTTTATTGGATAAGATATTAGTGACACCTTTCTATGTCTCTACATAAAAAGAACCAACTTCTCCAATTTAACATCTTATCGAGCACCATATGTCTACTGATGTTTACGTACCTGATATATGTTCAGTTTTACCTTCTACTTTCATTGCTTGTTACAAAAACTATTGCATTGAATATTGGCTGGGTCAAACTGTTTGGCATTTTAAACTTAAAAAAATACAGATAGAGAAACTTTCCAAAATTAAATGTTTAGTTATGCATCTTGTGATCCCATTAAGAAATTTAACTTGCCAGCCACTCACTCACTATGAAAACAACTAGGGGTTGAAAATTTAAGTTCCACGTTAATATTGTTTTCTTCAAATTTATTTTTTCCATTTCAAAAATCCTTATTTAACAAGCATTGTATCATGTCATATTATCATAACTCTTTTTTTGATATAAACTAAATCTTAATTTAGATATTTCTCATGATTGCTGCTTTTATTTGTAATCTTTTGCTATTTAGAAATTTTTGTTTTAATTTTTATATTGTAGAGTATTTCCTAGAGTCCCTCAAAGGTGATTGTAAAAGTATATCTGTTGTCTTTATTTTTCCTTCATATGATTACTATCTAGCTGAATATAGGATTGTTGAGTTGTTATCCTATTTCCTGAGTTTCTAAGTGCATTCCACTGCTCTCGGGCTTCCGAAAATCACACATGAGAAGCCCTATGCTAGCCTGATTCTCCTTCTGTTTTATTTTTTAGAAGTGGCATTGCTGAGTTATAATTGATATGCAAAGAACTGCGCATATTTTACTTCTATAATTTGCTGAGTTTGGACTTATACAAACACCTGTGATACTGTCACCACAACCAAGGAATTTCTTTTTGAATACCTATAAGATTTTCTCCTTTATCTTTGGAATCAGAGCCAGGCTAAGCGTATGTGCCTTGATTTTTACTGGTCCCAGGGAGCACAGAAATGAGGTAATGAACTCCTCAGTTCATTTGTTCATTGATTCAATCCCTTATTCATTTTTGTGCTCAGTACATGTTGCACACATTTTCCAGGCTCTAGGGCTATATAGTATTGAGTAAAATAGCCCTTTCTCTTATGACACATTATTTCTGTTTGTTTCATCTTATTGTTTGTTCACCCTTCACCCTCTTCCTTCCTCTGCCTATAATGACCCTCTAGAGTACATCTTTTTTTTTATATTGATTTAAATATATATGTTTTCTTGAAAAAAAAACCTTGCAATAGTTCTTGCACATTCCCTTAACATGCCCTTAACATTCCCCTTGGATGTTTACTTGTTTGATAAACAGTATGTACAAGATACTACTATAAGCACTTTACAAATATTAACTCATTTCAGCTACATAAAAGCCCAGGAAATAATTTATTTTTTCCATATTAGAAAACCACATCCCCAAGAGTTTGGGTAGCATGTCTAAAGCCACAGAACTGGGGAATGGCCAAACCTGGACTTGAACGGAGGCAGCTGGGCTCTAAAGGCCACCCTCTTCAGCACCTGGCTCCCAAGTTCAAAACCAAACTCTTAACTTCATCCTGCTTCTTACCTTTCTCCAGTCACCATCTTTCCCATCTTAGTAAGTGGGACCTCCACACTGCAAGCTGCTCAGAACAAAACCTTCCCATTTCCCTTGATAACTTTCTCCCAACTCATATTCAATCTGTCCGCAAATCCTGCTTGCTGCACCTTCAGAGCATATCCAAACTTGACCCCTACTCTCCACACGCACAGCCACTGCCCTGGTCCATACCACCATCTTCTCTCACCAGGTTAATGCAGCAGCTTCCTAATCATCTCACTTTGTCCTTGCCCTCCGCCCCTGTTTTCAGCACAGCAGCCAGAGTGACTCTGTTAGACCCCGTTAGATCATGTTGCTAGATTCAGAACCTCCCAGTGTTTTCCTTTCTCACTCAAAGGCAAAGCTGAATTCTTCCTGTGACCTGTAAGGCCCTATCCAGTGTAGCCTTGTGCAGCTTCTCTGGGCTCCTCATCTATCTTTCTCTGCTTTGCTTGCTCTGCTCCAACCACACTGACACCTGCTATGCTGCAAACACACTAGGCATGCTCCCACCTCAGGGCCTTTGCACTAGCTGACCCCACTACCTTGATTGCTCTTGCTCCAGATATCCATGTGGCTAGCTCCTCACTTCCTTCAGATATTTAATTCAAGGTCACCTCCTTCTGTGGATACCTTATCCTGAATGTCACTCCCCTCCCTATGTGTTTCTTTCCTGCTTTATTTTTTCTCTTTAGCCACCATTACAATCTACCATTTTATTTATTATCATGTTTATTGTCTGTGCCAATCCTTACCCCTCAACTAGACTGTAAGTTCCACAAGGGCAGGAAGTTTCGTTGTGTCTGTTCACCACTCTTCCCCAGCGCCTAGTGCCTGACAGAGGGAAGGTATTTGTTTGAAATTTGTTGAAAAAGAATGAGGGAATTTTCTTTTTTTGTTTGTTTGTTTTTTAGCTTTAGTGTCTTTTAGCTTAGTGTATGTGATGTTTCTCCACTCTATTCACAAGTTCGGTAATTCAGTTTTCAGTTGTAGTTATTCTTTTCCATAATTCCTTTACAGAATTTTAAAAAGATCTGATATAATTTCCTTTGGTTATCTCCCTAAATCTGCTTTGGAACTCAGGTGACTTTCTCTTCTAGGGGCTGGGCATGTGGCAGAATTCCTCTTCTAAGCCTGCACAACTTCTGCCTCTCCCAGGCTCTGTCCACCTGGGCACCAGGGATTGTGGCTTGATTTTTAAAAGGCTATGACTTTCCCCTCCTCCCTCCATGACTGCCTTTTTCAAAGGGCACCATGGATGTCCTTTCCTTTTGCTTTATAACAAATTCTCACACCTGATTGCAAACAGTACAACTTTGTCCTCTGCTCAACATCTTCTGTTGGACGTATTCTCCACACCTTTCACAGAATCTATTCATATTCTTTACGTTTTGAAGAGTGTTGAGGAGGGAACCAAGTCACTCCTGCTTGGTCAGTAGAAAGTCTAAGTAGAAGATACCTAACTTAAATGATAGCGTGAGGCTGAGTGCATGCAAATTTCATAGTTAAAAAAAATCCATCTTTCTTTAAGCAAAATGTTAATTATAATTCAAATGTACATCTTTCAAGCAACATTACTAGATTTTGCCTGTCATTTGTTCTGTCATGAAATGGGCCTGGGTGTCTATTAAAATAAATCTTACAGATGCATTTGATATGAATACGTTTCCTCCTGAGAATGACTAGAAGGCAGAGAGGGATGAGGGGGATAGATGTGTCAAATTTATTAAAACATGTATTTTGGTACCTAATCTTATTCCTTCAATTCTAATTTTGGATAAATTCAGATTTCTATGTGATCTTGACCTAAACTGACAGCCCAGAGGGGATGAGAAGAGTCAAAAAGGAGGGTAAATTCCTGGAATTCTAAGAGTTGGTGCTGTTTTCCAGCGTTTCCAGAACGAAGTGACAGGTTGTTTACTGATTGCCATCAATTTACATTCTTCCTCCAAACTCTTTCTCCCCTTCTTTATATATGTATAACATATAATAATATAATATTTATTGTATATTTTATATAATACATATTAGATATATATTGCAAAATGTATTGCAGATTCCAGAATTTACCTGAGAATTACAGAATCAGACATTTCAGAGTAATAGTTCAGCTTTGCATTTCCATCACAGTGACCAGCATCAAGCAGATGCTAAAAAAAGTTGTTGAACTCAACTTGGAAATAAAAGCTCTTTCTAAAATATCATTTTGTTTTTAACAAGAAGTAATAGGTAAATGTGTTAAAAGTGAGAAGAGTCAAATCACTGATGATTTCCTTTTTTTTTCCCTCCCAGGTTTCTGGGATATGTACATGGAAATAAGAGAAGGGACTCTAACCTGATTATGGATTTTGAAGAAAGACTCCTCATTGCACAAAAGAAAAGATAAACTAATGGACAGCCCTCAGGAATGATGTCCTTTTGCCACAATGTAATTAATATTTCCTGTGAGAAAAGCAGCTGGTCGAATGATGTCCGAGCTTCCCTGTATAGTTTAATGGTGCTTATAATTCTGACAACAGTGGTTGGCAATTTGATAGTTATTATTTCCATATCGCACTTCAAGGAACTTCACACCCCAACCAATTGGCTCATTTATTCCATGGCCACTGTGGACTTTCTGCTGGGGTGCCTGGTCATGCCTTACAGCATGGTGAGGTCTGTTGAGCACTGCTGGTATTTTGGAGAAGTCTTCTGTAAAATTCACACCAGCACGGATATTATGCTGAGCTCAGCATCCATTTTTCACTTGTCCTTCATTTCCATTGACCGCTACTATGCCGTGTGTGACCCATTGAGATACAAAACCAAGATCAATATCTTGGTTATTTTTGTGATGATCTTCATTGGTTGGAGTATTCCTGCTCTTTTTGCTTTTGGAATGATCTTTCTGAAGCTAAACTTCAAAGGCACTGAAGAGATGTATTACAAATACGTTCACTGCATAGGGGGTTGCTCTGTCTTCCTCAGCAAAACATCAGGGGTTCTGGCCTTTATGACTTCTTTCTACATACCTGGCTTGATTATGTTGTGTGTCTACTGTAGAATATATTTCATAGCAGAAGGGCAGGCAAGATCGATTGATGCAAATCAGAAGCTTCAAATTGGATTGGAAGAGAAAACTAGAATTTCACAAAGCAGAGAAAGGAAAGCTGCAAAGACATTAGGGATTGTGGTGGGAGTTTTCCTAACATGCTGGTGTCCTTTCTTTGTCTGCACAGTCATGGATCCTTTCCTGGACTATACAATTCCACCCACCTTGAATGATGCATTGGTTTGGTTTGGCTACTTGAATTCCACTTTTAATCCAATGGTTTATGCGTTCTTCTATCCTTGGTTCAGAAGAGCACTGAGGATGATTCTATTTGGTAAAATTTTTCAGAAAGATTCATCTAGGTGCAAATTATTTTTAGAATCAAATCCATAGAATTATTATACTTTACTGTTTTGCAAAACAGTTGGTGATCAAATTTATAAACACAACCTAATCACATCCACCAAATGCAGGGCTTTTATCGGTTATTTGAGTCAGAGATTGTATAGTGAGATGTGATGCTTACATCTTGCTTCTTATTTACCATTCTTACTGTACACACTAAAGTCTTGCAAGTCCAGAATTTTAAGGACTTACATTTTAAAGAACGTTTCCTGCCCTTAGATGAACTGTCATGAAATTGATAGTGGTACTTTACGCAATTGTCCAGTAGTGGTAACTAAGGGGCTGCATCTGGGGACACAAATTAGAATGACTTTGTCATTCATTTGTTTGAGTATATATGCCTCTTCGTAAAATAGACTAAAAGTGTACATAAAACATTATCAGTAACTGTTTATATATAATTTGCTATTTATTAATTCTTAAATCTCTTGATTTTTATATTTTTAAAATGTTTTTTTTCTGATTTTCACACTTGCAGGAAATTGGAAAATAAGGGAAAAAATTAAAATAATATATCATATAGAAAAATGGAAACAAAAATATCACTCATAGCTCACTTCCTGAAAAAACTGTATCATTCAAAATTCTTAAAAATATCATTTTTTGATGACTATATGATGTTACATTGTATGGATGCACAAAAAATTCTTTTAGCTATTTTCCTGTTGTTCACCACTTAGTTCATTTTGATTTCTTTTTTCAAATAATAGAAATTAAATGTTATTGAAGCTTATACAAATATCTGGAAGGATTCACCATATTTCAAATTTATGCCTGCTGTGGTGGAACTCAAAATACAAGCTGTGTTAAGTAAAGCAAATTCATTTATTGGGCTCTGGTCTACACTGAAAGAGAAGCAGTTATCCATCAATGCAGCTAAACACGAGGGATAAGAACAGGTATGGTCAGAGTAGACGTGCCATGTCCATTAAGATGGTACATACGAAAGAGAAAAGAGGAACAAATAGTGGTTCAGGTAAGATCCCCTAATAGAAGAGGGCAAACATTCCTAGTTATAAGCATCGATTTGCAATTGAGCTGTTTCTCATCCAGACTTCACATGGCTCCTATCATGTTCAGTGGCACTAGGGATTAGGGTTTATTTATCTAATGATTGTGACATGCTCATGGGTAAGGTAGGGGAAAGCAGATAATTTTAGATGAAACTAAAATAAGTGAAATAAAAATGTATGTTCCTGCATATAAATTTCTGTTCACAAACCTGATGATCCCTTCCATCTATTGCAGTCTGTTTCAGGCCTGTATATTTAAGTTTCATTGATCTGACTAGAGTTTTGTTCTAGTACATTTTAAAAACATTTAAAAAAACCTTTTCATTTAGTATATGGTGAGACAAGTTGCCTGTAATCACTCTTAGTTTCAAAAACTACCTTGATTTTTTCTACCTGTGAGACCATTTTGTCAAATTTTAAAAAAGGGAGCAAAAGCATTTAGACAATTTTCTGTACCTTACAGAAAACTCCTGTGGTTTTCTTCATCTCCTCCCATACATTCTAAGATGTTTTGCACTTCTGTGTGTGTGTGTGTGTGTGTGTTTTGTTTATTGTGAGTCTATCTTTTTAAAGTTATTTTCTATGTGATTATTATTACTGGTGTGCAGTAAAATTTATTTAACTTTTCAGTTGACCTGTTTGGGTTCTTATACATTGTCATGTTATCTTCAAACAATGCTAAGTTTTATCTCCTTTCCGATAATCATTCTTATTTACATTGCTTGCTGTACTTCATTAGTCAGAATTTCTAGAGTAATATTGACAATGCTGATAAGAGTCATCCTTGTCTTACATCTATTTTAAAGTATTATTCAGGTTTCAATATTGATTCTACATTTTCCATGGGACAACTTCATGACTCAGATAATTCTACCTTTTTGCTTAGGACTAAATCCCTTCTAGCCTATTTTTTCTTTCTAGCCTTTGTTTTTAATATTCATAATAAAAGACAACCCCTAACCACATCCTCTCAGCAAAACAAGAAAGGCTCCCTTTGTCTTTTCCATAGTCCCAGCGTTACTCTAGTTTCCATTCCCTCATGCAGAAGGTGTTTTTGTCTTTTGGTTGTCCACAGTCCACTTCCCAAGTGGAATCCGATGAGATTTTGTGAAATTTCCCATCTTAACTAGACATAATCTGTTTGGGCTGTGATACAGAGACTGGCCTTTGGCCCTTTCCCTTGACTAAACAGATGGGTGGATAACCTTCACTGAAAATTTCAGAAAGTCTTTCTCTAGAAATGGAATCTTCAGTGAAGGGAAAGAGACAGTGATTTTTTGCAGAATCATTAGCAGAGAGCAAAAAATAATGAGTTTCCATCCCATCCGTGTGATGAGATTGTGACCTGATTGCTCTTGGTATTGTTGGCGTTCTTGCTTCCCAGACTTCAGAGATGCCTAACTGTTCATTTCCAAACTGAGTTATCCATTCTTTCATGGCTTCCATGAGTCCTAGATAGTCTACTAAAAAATTCTCCTTGGCAGCAGTTTTTGGTTGCATGAATGGAAAGAACTTTAACTTGAAACACAACTTTATGGTAAATACGAAGAAAGTGATTGCAACCACATGACACCCCTTCCCCAGTCCAGACAACTTTCATTCAAAATAGTCTCTTATTCCACTCTCCTCTCAAAGATGAGGATTCATATAAATTTCCACTCAAGAAGAGATAAAAATAAATGTATTAGCAAGGAAGTTTGTTGAACTGATCTATTTATAATAATAATATTGCCATCTTAAAAGATCAGTGATATGCAACTTCTATCCTGATTTTCAACTTGGTTCTTGAGGTCAATAATTCAATCTTTGGAGGCTTATAAATATTTGGCAAAAAAAAATAAGGCAAGTCATATAAACCCCAATAAATTGTGAATTCTGGTGTATCAGTTTATTTGTACATTGTCAATAAGAGCCTGAACATTAACTTAAATGTTTAAAGATGCATGAAGAATATGTGTTTTTAAATTTAGCAGACTGTGAAGTGTACCCCTAACACCCAATTATTCAGAGAGATATTTTGAGTGTTGCACTCAAATAATTTAGGTAATGTATAAATCAGAGCAGTTTTTTTTTTTAAAGATTGAAGTATAAATGCATTTTCCAAAGTGTTTCAACACAGGTCACTGGGTACATGGCCAACTGTAAAAAAGCATTCAGGGAAAGTAAATTTATCTTTGGCAGGCCCTGACCTTCTTTCTCACATCCCCCTTCCTCCTAAAACCCCCTTTCTAAGTCTCTAAGCTCCCAGTGAATTCAGCTGCTCTGACATCCTAACTTGGTTGGAATGCTCCACTGACCCTAACTTCACTGTGAAGTCATATCAGCCTCAACATCTGATTTGTTTCTGTCTTTGATTTTGTTTTCCAGGAGGAAGAAATCATTGACTTACACAAACTAAAAGTTCCCAGTATATTTATCAATTAAGATGATTTAGAAGCTTAAAGGTAAGCCACTCACAATGGCTTATCAATGGCAAACTTTCCTCTTCATAAATATGCAAGTCAAAATCAACTATACTTCAGTTAAAAAAAAAAGAATTCTTTGAATGAAAAAATAAATCAAGTCAAATAAGTAATAGCTGAAATGATACACGTTAGAATTTTATTGGCCAATATTTTCACAATATGATTTGTTAATGTTTCTCAACCTTCACTGCTGATGGGGAGCTGTAATGAGACTATAAATAACGTGGACACTAAGGGCCTACGTCAAGAGGATGATCTGTGGTGAAGAGGACAAACTTGGGAACCAGACATCATGGATTTAAATTCTGGCTCCAACATTTATCAGCTAGTATTTGAACAAAGTCACTCAAAAACGCTAAACCTTTATTTACTCACCTGCAAAATGAGGACAATACTACTACTTCACTGGATTGTTAATTATTACATGAGAGATACCACCTAGTATGGGGCTTTGCACATAAAAACACACAGCAAACCCACATAACTAGCATGATTCCATGCCATTTTATTGATGTGTGCTATGGTGGTGCTCACTCAGAATACGATGAAGTCGTGCACACAGAGAAGTTGACACAGGTAGATATTACATATCATTTTTGTCTTATTTTTTAATTGAAGTTAGTTGATTTACAATGTTAGTTTTATGTGTGCAGCAAAGCAATTCAGCCTTTTGGCTAAGATCAAGTGTAGTTATAAATATACATATATACATACACATATATATATATACTTTTAGATTTTTTTCCATTACAGCTCACTGTAAGAAATTGAATACAGTTCCCTGTGCTATACAGTAAGTCCTTGTTGCTTATCTATGTTATACATAGTAATGTGCATCTATTAATCCCAAACTCCTAATCTATCCTTTCCCCCTACCCTTTACCCCACTGGTAACTACAGTTGTTTTCTATGTCCTATGAGTCTACTTCTGGTTTGTAAATAAAATTTGTATCTTTTTTTTTAGATTCCATATAAAAGCAACATCATATGATATTTGTCTTTGACTTCACTTAATATGATAATCTCTAGGTCCATCCATGTTGCTGCAAATGGCATTAGTTCATTTTTTGTGTCTGAGTAATACTCCATTGTCTAAATATATCATATCTCCTTTAGCTATTCATCTGTCGATGGACATTTGGGCTGTTTCCCTGTGTTGGCTATTGTAAATAGTGTTGCTGTGAAAATTGGGGTGCATGTGTCTTTTTGAATTATAGTTTCCTCAAGATATATGCTAAAGAGTGGGATTGCTATGTCATATGGTAAGTCTACTTTCAGTTTTTAAGGACCCTCCATACTGTCCTCCATAGTGGCTGCACCATTTACATTCCTACCAACAGTGTAGGAAGGTTTCTTTTTCCCCATACCCTCTCTAGCATTTATTTGTAGACTTTTTTATGATGGCGATTCTGACTGCTGTAAAAAAATAAAAAATAAAAAACAAAAAACAAAACTCAAAACTAGTGTAGAATTATATCATCCTCTTTCCTAATAAATTTCACAATTAAAATTGTGCAAAAGAATAGCAGAAGATTTATGTCAAGTTCTATGCAGAAAGATTACCCTGGTGACATGTTTCTGCAGGAAAGGTGTTTTTGGCCGTAAGGTTTTTATGGTGAACGTATCAGGGAGGCATCAAGTTAGTGCCAGTCATCAAAGAAATTAAAGTCAGAAGGACAGCTTATAACCTACAGTCACAATACAGTGGAAACATGACAAAGGCCACAACCAAACACAAGCCAAAGAATTCTTGCTACTGAGAAAAAGTTGGCCTTATCCTGTGTTATACCTCCCTTTGACACAAACTCAATTTATTCCATATATGTAATTTACTTATAATTCTAAAATTTGAAATTACTCATTAAAGGATCAACAGAATGAGTATATAATTCAGAGTTTTCTTGTATCAGCCAACCAGGGTTGAGGTGTGATGTT